CCCCCCCCGCCGCTGCTGCTGCTGCTGCTGCTGCTGCAGCATGGAGCGAGCGAGCGTGGGGGTCTACGGGGAGCTGCTGGCAATAGAAGAAGACAAAAGTTTGTCTTTTGAAGAAAAAGAAAAAAAGTCTTTAAACCCTCGACAGAGACTTCGGCAGATCCAGAGGCCCTTCGTGCTGCAGCAGCTGCCCCTCGTCTACAGGGCCCACCTCCTCATGGGTCTGCTGCTGCTGCTGCTGCTGCTGCTGCGGGGGTTGCTGCTGCGGGGTTTGCTGCTGCGGGGGTTGCGGCTGTTGCTCCTGGGGTGGTTGTTGCTGCTGCTGCTGCTGAAATCGCTGCTGCTGCTGTTGATAATCCGGCGCGAGGTGTGGGCTGTCGGGGGCTGTGCTGCTGCTGCTGCTGCTGCTGCGTCGGTGCTGCAGTGCGCAGTGCTAGCCAGTTTTGACTCTGCGGCGTCTGTGTTGTTTCACGCGAAGCCGTCGCCTTCAGGGCTTCGGGTTTAGGGTTTAGGGTTTAGGGTTTAGGGTTTAGGGTTTGCGCGTGCAGGCCTGCCTGGGCCTCCTTCTTACACACACCTAAACCCTTTGCTGCCAGCAGATGCCCAAGAACCCCCCGAGGCCCCGGGGCCCTTTGTGGGGCCCCCGAGGCCCCTTAGCTGCTGCTGGAAGTCCCCAGTGGCTGATTTCCCAGTAGTTCCCTTTTACTCGAACCCTCAGCAGCAGCAGCAGCAGCAGCAGCAGCAGCTGCAGCAGCAGCTGCAGCAGGTGCCATTTGTGCGGGGCCACCGACCCCCGCTGCAGGCCCCAAAGCCGTCGGACCTGCCGCGGTCGCGCTGCGGCGCTGCAGCAGCAGCAGCAGCAGCAGCAGCAGCAAGCATTGCAGCGCAGCAGCACCTCCCGCCCCCTCCCCCAGAACTCCCGCAGCAGCAGCAGCCCACTGAGGCCATTGTGTGGGACATGCGGGTCAGAAAGTGGTGGCGGGGGGCCTTTTACAGGCAGCAGCACCGGCAGCTGCAGCAGCAAGAGCAGCAGCAGCAGCAAGAGCAGCAGCAGCAGCAAGAGCAGCAGCAGCAGCTCGCGAACGCAGCTGAAGCTCGAGAGGCACTCAGCGGCGAGCAGCAGCAACAGTCAACAAGCAGCAGCAACGCCGACGCCTCCGACAGCAGCCAGAGCAGCAGCAGCAGCAGCAGCAGCAGCAAGGAGACGCAAGGGGAGGAAGGCTGTGGGGCCCCACAATCTCTAGCCGAGAAGCAGCAGATTATTTACGGCCGCAAAATCGCCGAGGCAATAAACTCTAACGAAGGCGCAACACACGAGTGGAAGGTGCCCTTGCTGCTGCTGCTGCTGCTATTAGTGTTGCTGCTGCTGCTGCTGCTGTTAGCGTTGCTCGTGGTGCTGCAGTTAGTGCTGTTGCTGCTGCTGCTGCTGCTGCTGTTAGCGTTGCCCGTGGTGCTGCAGTTAGTGCTGTTGCAGCTGCTGCTGCTGTTTCTGCCGGTGCTGTTGCTGCTGTTGGTGTTCCCTCGCGCCCCCCGCTGCTGCAGCAGCTGCTGCTGCTGCTGCTGCTGCTGCTGCTGCAGTTTACGCAGCTGGGGGCGGGGCGGCGAGTGGGGGAGTTTGTGTTTGGACCTGACAAGTTGCTGCCAGCAAAAACGAAAAGCAAAAGAAGACTCGGAAGAGGAGACGGCAGCAGCAAAGGGGGCTCTGCGGGCCGCGGCTGCAAG